GAGTGCTAGTGGGTGCTGGGGCTGGGGAGAGGGTGCTGCTGGGTGGAAGGATGCTGGCTCAGGTGGCAGGGTGCTGGGGCAAGGTGCTGGGACAGGCAGGTGGCAGGGTGCTGGGGTCAGGGACATGGTCCTGCTGGGCACTAGGGTGACTGGCAGGGTGCTGGGACAAGGAACAGGGTGCTGCTGGGTGCTAGCGTGGATGGCAGGGTGCTGGGGCTGGGGCCAGGGCCAAGGCCAGGGTGGTACTGAGTCCTGGGGTGTGAGGCAAGGTACTGGGGCCAGGGCAGTGCTAGGGTGGATGGCAGGGCTGCCAAGGAGCGGGATAGGGATGGGGTGCAGGATCTGGGAGGGAGCTAGGGGGCGGAAGGGGACAAGGTCTGGGTAGGGTGCAGACCAGATAGGTAGGGGGCAGAAGCAGGCTGGATGTATGGTGTCTGGCTACGAGGGAGGGTGCGAGGAGGGGACCTGGGTAGGAGTTGGACCTCCCTGATCTGGCACCCTCTAGACCTGACTGGTCCCAGGTGAGGAATTTTTGGATCAGGGGAGGGCATTTCAGGGCTCCTGGTCCCCCCCTGTTCCCCCTCCCCAAGTGCGGCGATCCCGAGGCCAGCGCCCCCTCCCAGTGCCGCGAGCCCGGGGCCGGCGCCCCCCCCCAGAGCATGGGCAGCCAATCTGCGGCGCTCCCGGGGCCGGCGCTCACCTTCAGGGAAGGTCGCGCACGGCAGGGGCGGGTCCGGGGGAGAGACACTCTGGGGTCCGGCTGGGAGGACGCGCGCGCGGGGTCGGGACCAGCTCCATGCTGGCTAGCCGGCTCTCTCTCTCTCTTTTTCAGAGGGGGCGGGGGAGCGCCAGCTCCTCGCGGAAACCCTCATTGTGCTCTGCGGAACCCCAGGGTTCCGCGGAGCACCAATTGGGAAACACTGCTTTAGAAACATAGCCATGAAGTCCTGTAATGGACATTTATGGACTCATCTGCCCTTAGGGGTAGTTTCTTCCTATCTGCAGTAGTTAGTGGTTAACCTGGATACTCCAGGTGAAATTCTGGCCTTGTTGAAGTCAATGAGAGCTTTGACATTGATTTCAGTGTGGTGAGGATTTCATCCTTTGGGTATGTCTACACTTCGGGACAAAGTCGAATTAAGCACCTCAACTTCAGCTACATTAATTGCGTAGCTGAAGTCGAAGTAGCTTAAATTGGTTTTTGGCCCTGGCTACACTGCAAGAAGCAGAGGGAAGAACACTCTTCCTTTGACTCCCCTTACTCCTCGTGAAAACAGGGTTATCATATTGACCAGCACACCTCCTCACTTTGAATTAGCTGTCTTTACTAGACGGCTGATTTGAATCCTGGATGATCAACAGCAGCAGCTTCAATCTTCCTCTGCAGTGTAAATGTGCCCTTCATATCAAGAGCAGAGGGTTGATACGGCTAATGATTTTTTTTTCAGTTCTGAAACAATGGGCTGCAACTTTGTGGGTACACTGTCCTCAAATCAGATCTGAGTCTTTCCTGGATGAGTGGAAATAAACTTCCCTACAGTGCTTGCATTTTCGGCTCTCTGTGGCAGGTAGTTAATCATTCTTGGGCATGGACTACCACACCCAGTGAAATCAGTGGAAAGAGCTTCTCTTTTGGCTCTCCCTGAGCCTGTGGAGAGCCATGCAAGAGAGCCATGCAAGATGGAAGATATATGTCCCATCCCCATCTTGTCCCCAGGACTTCTAGGTGCCTTTTGTGGATGTATGGCTAGTGAAAACTCTGCATTCACCTCTATTCCCCTCCAAGGGGTAACAGCAGTCAGATATAGGGGTACATGCTAACCTTTCTACCATTGACCTGATATGTCACCTAAAAGTCACAATAACGGGACATGCTATGCCAGTTGGAGAATGAACTAGGTTAGGTGTAACTCCTCTTTGTTAACCACTTGACCCCTACTGAACTTGCAGGCGTATATGTGACATGTATGCTATAGGATACACCCAGGTATACATTATATATATCCCCCAAGCTGCCCTCATCATAGAGACAGATCAGATCATATAAATCTGCAGCTTTCCACTAAGAAAGGCTGATTTACAATGTCTGAAGATCCCTCCCCTTCATAGTAAATGTCACTCTTATGGAAAATCCACAATGACTATGAATCCCAGAGAGTAATGTATATTAATAATGAACACAATTACTATCAAAAATAGGATAAAATCTACTGTATCTGAAAGGTTAGACTTATCAATGCCATGGCCATGAATATAATTCATACTTCTCCACTCACTGTGCCAAAGGCCAAAACTAAGAAAGTGCTCTTTACAACAGGACTAAATTACTTAACAAAATGTAAAGAACCAGCAACAACTGCCCACAGCAAAATGTTCGAAATAATATTAAACATTGTACTGCATCTTTAGAGGTAAAATCCCTTACAAATATGAAGGAATAAGTCCCCAAAATAGCATGATCCCATATTTAGTAATATTTTGCTCTCTACTGACACCTTCCATCCAAGGATCTCAAAGGTTTTTACAAGCAGTCATAACAATAGCCCTAGATCACCTTGTGAAGTATGGAAGTATTATTATTTCCATTACACAACTACATTGTAAATTAAAAATATTAAGAACCTAATCCTTCATTGAGAGGAGGAATCTGAAGTGATATTCTGAGCATTTACATGGTAAATCAGTGGCAAAGGCCGGAATATAACACAGAATTATCTGACTGCGAACCTGCTGTTTGGATTAAAAGATGGGATTTCCTTCTTGCTTTGCTGAAGGCATTCTGAAATTTGGATGCAGTCAGGGAATAGGGTGCTAATGAATTACAGCTGAGAGATAGGATAGAAGGTGTGGGCACAAGCAAATATTGTGCTAAACAGAGGGTGGCGGAGGGAAAACAAGTAAAAAGAAAGATCTTACCTCCCCATTCAAGAAACAATAGAGAACAGCAACCACAAAGCCCTGGATAAACAGGAGATAAAAGGCTGTCAATTTAAATCTACTAGGAAATGACACATAATATCTGAAGGGGGTAGTCTACAAAGCACCTGGGATAAGTGAATGAATATGAAGTAAAAGAGGGAGGTATGCACAGCTAGGGCTGCCAACATTTTATTGGCACAAAACCGAGCTCCCAAGCCCTGCCACTCCCCTGAGACCCAGCCCATCACTCACGATATTCCTCCTCCCTTAGTGGCTCACGCTCTCCCACCCTCATTTGCGCTGGGCTGGGGTGAGGAGTTGGGATGAGGGCTCTGGGTGCAGAGGAGGTCTGAGGGGAGGCAGGTAGCTGAGGTCTAGGAGGGGGTGAGGGCTCTGGAATGGGGTTGGAGGTGAGGAGTTTGGGTTGCAGGAGGGGGCTCCAGAATACAAGGGGGGGCTGCAGATTGAGGCAGGGGTTGGGATGTAGCAGTGGTTGAGGGCTCCAAGGGAGATGGGGTGGAGTGCAGGCTTTGGGCTGGGTCTAGGTTAGGAAGGGCTTGGGATGCATGATGGGGGTTTAGGTTTGAGGAGGCACTCAGGCCTGGAGAGGCTGGACAGGAGGGTCAGTAGGGTTTACAAACTCTGGGCTAGGGGTTGGCATGTAAGCTGGGGGTGTGTGGGCTGTGGGGTGTCCAGGGATGAGGAGTTTGGGGTACGGGAGAAGGCTCTGTCCTGTAAGACTGCCCCCCCCAGCTCAGGGAGGGGGAAGCGCATGGAACCCTTTGCTTCCCCTTCCCTGTCTAGGAGCCAGATCTGCTGCCCTAAGTTCCCTCTAAGCAGCGTGGCTGAGAGGCCACACAGCTGCCTAAAAGACCCCTCACACGGGCTCTGGGGAGATACATGGACTCTATGTTGGGTTGGTGGGGAAGGGGTGTCTCCCCCTGCCAGGGACTGAGGGAAGGGCCTCCAGGCTGCGGTAATTCTGTGCTGGGGAGATGGTGGAGGTGACTGTCCCTGAAGCCATGACAGCTCTGTTCTGGGGATGGGGTTCCTCCCTTCAGCTGCAGCTGCTCTGTGGTGGTGCATGAGGAGGGGTGCCTCCTCACAGGCCATAGCTCCCAACTCAGAGGTGCCCCACAGTTGCCACTGCTGGGTGACAAGTGCCCTTTGTGAACCCCACTCGGACTAGCCTGGGCCTGCCCTGGCTGGGGGACAGGCACCCCTTTCCTGGCTGTGTGAGCCCCCTCCCATCCTCAGAACCCTTTGGCCGCACCTCGCCACACACATTTTGTTATGTGCACCAATATGATGTGTCGCACACCACGTCTGTATTGGGCCACACAACAAAATTCATGCTGCTCAGGCATGGGGAAAATTAGTGGGAACACTGGTGCTGCCTGCCCTTGAGGTACAGCAAGGTGCCCCAGGACAGGCGGGGACTGGCCTGTCTTGGCTCCGTAGCACTGCCAACTGGATTTTTATTGACCCAGTCGGCGGTACTCACCAGAGCCAGCCGGGTGCCTTTTTGACTGAAACTTGACAGTAGGACACACTATGCACTACAGTCCTACCAAATACCGATTTTTTTTCCCAAAGCAGAATTCAAGGTATAATCACCTGGAATGATCCCAGTCCCAATTCAAACACTAGTCTCTCCCGTTTACTGACATTTTCAGGAGAAAAGGCAAACACAGTGTAGTGAATTCCAAATAAGGGGATAAGCAGCAGAGTGGAACGGGCCAGCCTCCTGTTATGACAAATTGAAAGAATGTTACTATATCATTGCTGCAGACAGCGGAAACTTGGATTAACATTGTATAATAATACTACAAACTCTGTAGTATAGACATAGTATTATTAAAGTCATAATAAAAATTATCTATCTATCTATCTATCTAGCTAGCTATCGTTCCCATTTTCTCTCACCCCCTGATTTCACCCACATTGTGTTCTACCTCCATTTTCTGACACTAGGCACAATCTGAGTGTGAATAGGTATTAATAGTTTAGCACGGTTGATTGTCATAAACTCTTATTTTGATAGCATGTTCTTCTGGGCAGGGAGTGTCTCTTCCTACGGGTATGTAAGTACCAAGTGCAGAAGGGCTCTGATCTGAGCAGTTTTCTCTGAGTGCTACCATAATACAAATTAAATAAACAGCAGCACCACCTAGTTGACTTCTTTATATGCAGCTCCCAGAATCTCCTATCTGTGAGTTCACCTCTTCTCGAAAAGAAAAGGTCTCCATGGTATTATGCAATCATGATACTCCTGCCGAGGCCAGATTCTGCTTTCGTTTTCACTGGGGCAAATCTCCATTGGTGGCAATCATATCTAGTGCTATTAATGTTAACCAGGGTGAATCAATGTAAAACAATGTTAGAGGAAAATCAAGATTACTGGGAGTTAAATGTTTGTACTAACAAGCACTAGTAAGCAATTAATTTTAGATGGATGAAATTCACGCTACGTAAGGATTGGTCACAATGTCTATGCATCACACATGCCCTAATGAAACAAACCTATGGTAGGTGAGGTATCTTGCCACCATGAGAAACCTCCTCTGGGTGTCTCCTACACTAGGTGCTGGCTTTTTATGGGCAAGCGTCCAACAGGCACAAACCAACTGAACCTGCAAACCAAGCGGGAGGAGTGGTCACAAAGACTCACTTCTGGACTGCAAAGATGAATTGCTTCCAGTAGAAAGATGAGTGGCTGAGACACACCTGATGGGCAGACACGGCCATTTCCCTTCCCGTGAGCGGGGGTGGGAGTGGGACTAGAGAAAGAGAGAGGCCCTCAAGCTTTGGAAGAACTTGCCGTCATTATTTGAGGCCCTCAAGCTTTGGAAGAACTTGCGGTCATTATTTCATATTCTGCGCTCACATGGATATACTAAATGCCACAGCAAATATGTGACACTGGCTCATGGTCGGCAGTGTTTTGGTTGCACTGTGTACCCCTCGCCCTGGGGTTAGCCATCAGTGAATCCACAATTAAGAGGGTGCCCGGAAGATGTCCTACTCAATATCGAATGACTGCTAAGAGAGAGGTCCCTCCCCCTCTTCTGCAGTTTCCCCCTTTCTCTGACACAGCTGGAGGGAGCCAAAGCATGTACAACTTGCAAGAGCCTGCAGGATTCCTCGGTCAATTCACTGCAATGGATCAAGTTAATGAGGCTGCTGAACATCATAATCCACAGTGCACAGTTTTTATGGCCTATGAAAATATCATAGTAGATAGGACGAGTGTCAGAAGCCATGGAAGAAGAGACAGGAGGCTAAAAGAATTTTAAAACCCATTTGACACTACACTATTTATGCTAGCCATGGAATGAAAAGAGATCAAGGCAGGCATGGATTGAGGAGAAACCCTCTCTTCAAAATCCATCATTTTTAGAGACAATATCTTTTTTTTGAAAACCCAGCTTGAATGGGAAGTACATTGTTTCACAGTGTATTGAAATGGCATGCTCTAAATCAGCCACAAGTTA